CATCACATGTGAATCGCTTCACAGAGAAGATTTTTAAAAGGAGAGAGAGGGCAGCTAGCCCTCAGCTCCCCAGCATAATCAAATATGCCTCTCCAGCCAGCCCCCACTGCTAAGTGCAAATACTTTCAGAAGACCTCAGTCAGACATATTGCCAACATGCGGGCAATGGCTACACATTAGGTTTCATGTCTGGCATCATTAAGGGGTCTCCTTGGAGAGTCAACTCCCTGGGCCCTCAGAGAAGGCAACAAAGGTGTTTACTGTCCCTTTTGTAGTGCGTTGGCTTCAACATGGCATAGAGGCCTAGGTCTCAGAAGAACAAACATGCACCATTTGAAAGCATGTGGTCACTGAGGCCAGCCAGGATGAAATAAACCCTCGAGGTATAATCAGTGTAAAGCAGGAAATCAACCTTGCTATGACAAGCACAGACTGAATGCATAGGCCCACCTCTCAGAGGGAGAAAGGCACTCTGGAAATTCAATGCTTCATTACTATTTCAGAGCCTGAAAATGGCCCCATCAAAGGAAAATTGATCCACCTTGATTCAGTCTCTCAAAAAGAAAAAAAAAAAAAAAAGGAAGCTAGACAAAGGAAAAGACAATGCATCATATTCTTCCTCTACACAGGCCATCCACTTAACAGACAAAAAAAAAGACATCCGTGCGTGTGTGTGTGTGTGTGTGTGTGTGTGTGTGTGTGTGCACCTGGAACATGGGACCTGGAACAAACTGGATTAGGGCCCTGGATGGTCGGTCTTAACCGAATTACCCGGGCATATGGCATTCTAATGCGATCAGGGTTATCTCTAGCAGACCTGGCTCTGGCAGCCAGAACTCACCTTGCAGCTCTGAACCAGTTGCTGCTGGGCTGCGGGGTTCTTGTTGGACACAGCCGCGTTCTGGGAGGCGGCGATGGTCTGCGTGGCCGCAGCCGCAGCCTGCTTAGCTGCAACCTGCAGAGGACAGGGAGAGGAGGTGAATGGGGTTAGCGTGTGCCAACATAGTCATGCACATTTACATACGTCCCTCCTACTACAGACCTGGCATTGGATAGCTGCATGCGTAAGAAAGGGGAATTTCAGGCACTGACTCCGCCTTTTAAATACCACTGAGGATCCTGACCTAAAAGTGCCCTGTTATCTTCATTTGGTTTACATTCCCTGGGACCAGTGATAAAGGCAAGCATGCTTGAAAGCTCAAGTTCCATTGTTCATTTGTCTTTCTCAGAAAGACAAGGAATAATTCCAGGACCACGATGGCAGTGATAAGCAGCACCAAGTCTGAATGCTTTAGGGGAAAAAAGTCTCCCACAGCAGCCCAGGCTGCTCTCTGGGTCAAGCACAACGCTAGTGACCATGATGTCCTCTCGCGTCCCCTTGGTTCAGAAAGGCCTGGATTTTCCCACTGGAGCACTTAATCGTGTGCACGCTCTCTCTCAGTCTCATGTCCTTCCAGGAACATGGAGGCCGGGTTTCTTCCAGAAGTCAGCAGGCTACACATGGAGGGATTACACACTGCCAAGGCAGGTTCTCCGCCTCCAACAGCCCCAATTTTAGTGTAGGACGCCTGTGTACATTTGTGAGATTTATTTTCTTACACAGTTTATGCCTATGGCTAATATTTTCTTTTTTTCAGAATAAATAAGTGTTCTGAAAAATGACAAAATGTTTCTTATTACTCTGCTCCATACCTCTCTATACAAGCCTGATCTCCGTCTCGAGTCTCCCAAATTCCATATTTTCTGTTGGGAGCCCTGGAAGAATCATTGCCTCCAACAAAATATATACATTTTTAGCTAAAGGTCCTTCCTGAATATAGACAGCCCTTAATGGAAGGGGACAAAAAAAATCCTGGGTTCTCCTGAAAAAAATTTTAATTTTATTTAAGAATGTTAAACTCAGAAATAATCGTTGAGAAATCATGAACTAAAGAAATTTTTCAAATTGTGTCCATGTGCCTAAACCATTGAATCTAAATGTACAATGAACATAAACCAACATTTCAAATTGTTCTTAGTACCTAAACCATTAAACTCTACCATTAATCTTGATTTAGCTTCGTTATATGGGCTTTGCCTTATTAATCCAATCATTCTTTCCAATAAGTCTTTGCATTCTAAAATAATATCCACAAAATGAGCTTCTTCACTCACCTCCAATCGGTTGACAATTTTTTTCTTAATAGCATTCTGGGCAGCAGCATTGGTGGCCACCCGAAGACCTTCTGCGGCTTCTCTCAGTCTTTGCTGCTGGTCCTCATTTTCAGGGTTGGCTGCAGCTCCCTGAGAAGGTGAAAATAAAGATTTCAAGAGGTCCTGGGGGCGGCATGCCAAAGACACTGAATTCTCACCTTGAATTTTACTTTTTCCTAGTAATACAAAGTATCCGGAAAAGAGAGCCAAATGCTTCAAGCAATATCTTTATGATAAAGATGTCGCCTCTCAACAACAACAACAAAATATCTACCAAGGGATGTTTCAAAACGGCACCGCTAAACAGTCGAAATCCAGTGGTAATAATGAAACACACGAGATCATCGCCTTGGTTGTCCACATAAATTAACCTGTGGTCAGAAATCCATGATTTAAATGATGTCAAGATAAATCCCCCCTTCCCATGTCTCCCAGAGGGAATTTTTATTTTAATTGGCATGGCAGACACATGTCACTGCTGAAAGATGCTCCTGTCCTGTAGCACTGGTAAATGTGAATGGGCTAAGGTTACAGGGTAAAACGGGGGTGGGGGGTGGAGAAAACAGGGGGGGTCACAAGTGCCACCCAAAATACTGTAAGGAAATACTGTTCACCAAAGACGATGTCTAGAAACTGCATTCCTAGAGAGCCTGAGTTGTAAAGTGCAGCAAAGTAGAATAGGTACCCAGCTGTACTGAACTAACTGTAACTGAACTAAAGAAGAAAATGGGATACCCCTATCCTGGCAGGGACAGAGGAAGGTGCGGTGCACAGCCCGTGGCCACACTCCCGGGGGCCCTTTTACTGTGTTGCTGTAGGTTAAAGTGTCTTAGGAAGCTAAGTGGACTTTAATTAGATGGGTGGGGTTTTGAAGCAGGGAAAGGCTCAATAAAGGTAGTGTAGGGAGATGATGTGATTTTACTGCACAGTCATTCAACAAAGACTTCAGGCACATCCAGCCTTCCACTCCCATGTGCGATAAAAGTGGCTATCCAGATTTTTCTCACAGGGCTTGGATGTTTGGTGACTAGTGCTTGATGCATATAGATGAACAAGTTCCTTTCCACGAATACTTTAGGGCAATATTTCGTCACAAGGCAGATTGTTTGGGTTACTTTTGGATTCTTTCACAAGCTTACAAAAATCATGTTAGTTTTTCTGGTCATTAGGTATTTCTTTTTAAGTCATTCCTTTATCATTGTCTCAAGTGGCACACCAGCTTTTATATTTTGAGCAGCAGGAAAACCCCATTTCCTCACTTGACACTGATGTGGGTGTTCGGATCCTTCCTTAGCAATGTCTTTGTTCTGATGATTGTGTATTAGATATAGAGTACTAATCTTGCCCTGAAATCTTACTGATTATGAAACATTTTTTTCCTGCACATTAAATATATTCTTTGGAAGTCCAACCATTGTACATTCTTTAGCTTTCAATAAACTACAGCAAATTGAAATATTGTCATGAAGACAAAGTTACTTTTAACTAAAAGTTAAAATAATTTACAAAACATTTAATGTTGTCCCATCTAATATCAATAATCAGAAATAACAATACTTTAAAAATAAGTTTTTAGTAACTTGGTACATTCAGTGAATTGGTCTGGGGAATACTGTATATCTGAAAACAAATTGGTTTTAGCTTCATCCTGGTTATGTGATGGTAGGCTTATTCTTTTGGAATTTTAATTTTCTCATTTGTAAAATAAGGAATTGATTCAAGTTTTCACAAAGGTTCTTTCTAGTGTAGCAAGTAGTTTTTGTGAACATAAGGGTTTGCTTGAAATAGCTTTGTTTAGCCTTAGAAGGGAGGAAAAAGAAACAAAACTAATAAAAACCATAAATAAAATTAACTACCAGAAAAAAACCCCCCAAAAAACCAAACAAATCCCTAATGTGTATGTTCTGCTAAAAGGGATGGTTAAGAGCAGAGTTTCTCAGCTGAAACAGGGATCAGGGAACAAAGGAAGTTCAGATCCTGCTCCTCCGCGGGTCTCTCGTCAGCCCTCCCCATGATGTATCTTGAAGAACTCTCAGTCCCTCAGGTAATACAGTGGTGAGGCGACATGGAAGATCTACATGGTTCACTGCATGTCACATTTTAAATGAAGTAATTCATATACTTGGTTGAGATACATTATTCTGTTCGAGGCCAGGGGGATAGGATAAGATGTGGGGATGTTTAATGGATTTTCAATGCATAGAAATACGTTCAACATGTTATCTTTGGGGTGTGAAGCTGATGGTGATTTCTGTTTTCTTATTTATACTTATTTGAATTTTCTACGAATTCCACAAGAAATGTGCTAGTTGCATAATAAAAACAACACCAAAAAATATAGCCTTATCCATTTTAAACAGTTCTCACCCAGAGGTAGGCATCAGAATCTCCTGTGGACCTTACAAACACACACACACACACACACACACCAGTGACCGTGTGAATCAGGATCTTTGGGGGTGAACTGAGGCATATGCGCTTCAGTGTGTGTCATAGGGGACTCTGAAACAGAGCCCTGGGTTAAGAATCACTAGCTTTTAGAAGCATCATGATATAGCACAGCTGTCAAAAAGCACAAAGCAGACTCTAACCTCTTCAGTCAGACTCTCCTACAATATATTAAATTGCTATTGGGATTTGAAGAGCAGCGAGGCAGAGAGCAGTCTACTATGCAAAGTCTCGATAAGAGTTTAGTTGAAAAGTCAAACGGAGGGCCAAGTAACATTAAGGCTGCCGGGAGGAAACTGGTGTAAGTGAATTTACTGTTGTAAAAATATCTCAATTTTAAATGAATCCCCATTTTCCATAAAGCCGATGGTGATGGCCCAATGGAAAAGGAGTGCTCATTAAGCAGGGACTTTGCTCCCTGTGGCTGAGTCAACATCACCTCCCTGAAGAGCTCCATTCGTATGTTCCATGACCTTCTCCTTCCCACCTGAGCAAGGTTAAACATTACAAAGCCATCTGGGTTTCAAACAAACAAAAAAATGTACACTCGGGTGACCATTCTTTACCCTGAAGGTACTTTCTAAATCCCAGCTTTTAATAACACTCACTTTTCAGTTGAACAAATCCAATGTAACAATACCTTTGCAGCTTCGACCATGCGAGCGGTGGAGTCAGCCAAGAGTTTGGCTGCTGCCAGAAGCTTCTTTGAATTCTCCATGTCGATTTCAGCTTCTGCATCGGACCTCATGGCGTTGACGAGGTCTGATGTGGCCTGGGCCAGGACCCGGGCCTGGCGCACCATTTCACCTAGAGGGTGGGATTAAGGGTGTGGTCTGTTCATCTGCTTTCTAAAGCTCAGGTGAGAGAGAGCTCAGGAGTCAGCGGTCTTGTCTCTACTCCTCTGGCAGGAGAGAAGTAAGCCCCCCTGCTCTATTCCTAAGCAATGCAGCCCAATTAGATGCAGAACTGAAGATATTCCCTGTGGCTGCCAGGACTCTACGCCCCAAACACATCCAAGTTCAATCTTTAGCTATGAGAAATGAAAAGGACACAAGCGACCAAAGAGGAGCTCTTAATAAAAAGAAGGCAAGGAACAAAATTATGTGGACTTATTATGTGCATTTACCTTTAGTAAATAAGTACATAGAAAATATTAATTACCTCACATCCAGAACTGCTTACGCAAAAGCCCCTATAATAAATTTTTTACTTTGAATTAATTTGCATGCTGTCTAACATCAGTAACATTGCATCATCTCCTATGGTTGCGTCATTCGGCTCTGGCTAATAGGAAGCAGAGACCCCAGTTTCATGTGCAAATGCTAAGATTTGCTTTGGCCCTGTTTTCCCTATCCATTTTCTCTTTGCTCACCCTATTCTTCCCAATACTGGTTTTGATACTGTGATTAGTAATTGGTTATATTGTGCCTGTGATTTTACTGAAATCTGTTGCAACTTCCTTTTGGAAGTGGGAGGGATATGAGTCAACATTAAAAATAAAGCTACTGAAATGTAACGGATTTCTTCCTTTCCCAAAGGTCATTTGAGAAGAATGCACTGTAACATTAAGGGTATACAAAGCTTTAATGGCAATCAAAATGTGCTAAATTCAAGGTATCCTGGATTGGCTCCTAGGACAGTAAAGAACATCGGTGGAAAAATTGGTGAAATCTGAATAATGTCTGTAGTTTAGTTAACAGTAACGTACCAGTGCTAATCTCCCAGTTCTGACACATGTGCCATGGGTTAGGAAGATGTTAAAAATGTGGGAAATGGGGAAGGAGAGACGAGAACTCTGCATTACACCTGCAACTTTTCTGTAAATCTAAAGTGTTCCAAAATAAAAGGCTTATTAAAAAACAAAAACAAAAGAATAACAAAAAAATCCAAATGTGTGGAGCATTGCTATGTTCTTAAATTCGTTAAGAAGGATATAGGAAAGCACAAGGTAATTTTCTTAAAAAAACAAACAAAAAACTTGTTATAAAGTATTGCTCTGCACCGATGAAAAAGTAGGAAAACAGACTTCTTACAAACTACTGGTAGTATTGCAAATTGTGGGACCTTCCTGGAGATAAATTTCACCAACACATTAAAATAAAAAACATATATATATATATATATATATATTGCTATTGGCCAAGCAATTCCACAGATATGAATTTACCCTACATATACCCCCAGAACTAAACCAAAATATTCAAATATTTTTATTTTATTTTGCTCAGTGAAGCATTCTTTTTGTAAAAGCAAAACAAACTAACAAACCAAAAAACCTGGAATCATCTGCATGTCCATTAAAAGATAACTGGTTGAGTAAATTATGCTGTATCCATTGAATTGAAGACTATGCTGCCATTAAAAGGATTATTGTATAGGTTGACATGAAAAAAGTCTCTAATATATATTAAGTGAAAATGGTTGCAAAAGAATATGTATGACATAGTTCCATACATATACCAAAAAAAGGTGTTTTATATACACACACACACACACACACACACACACACACACACACACACATATACACACACACACACGCACACATATATGACTGTAGGAAGATCAAAATTTCTGGACAGATAAAACGGAAATCGGTCAGTGGTAAATTCTGGAGATTTAGATAGGATAGTGATGGGCTGGGTCTAGGGAGACATGCTTTTTAACTAATAGATTGAAAGTTGCATTGTACATATTCTTAAATTTTCTGTCTATGATGCTGTTTGACATTTAATAAAAACCTTGCTGGCTGGAGAGCGACTGCCCCTCCTGGGCTAGCCAATTCTTAAAGATAGCCAAGGGTGCAGCCAGGAGCACGCCTTTGAGCCATTCCTAAGACATACCTCCTCTAAACGACCAGGAGGCAATACTTGTCTGCCTCAAACATCCCAGGGCCAGGTACTAGGCAGCTAGGGACAGCCCTTATAGTGTAGGGCCTGTTGAAATTACTCAAACCAGCCAATCCTGCATTGTTCATCCTGCCCTGCATTGCCTTTGCTTTCCCATGGAAACTCAAATAAAGGCTACGGCCTAGACTTTCCCCTCAATCCTGTCTTCCACCCCTGGACCAAAACCTGACCCTTCCCCTATAACCTTGTGTGGCAGGTGGTGAATCCATCTCTGAAAGCTGTGAGTCTAATATACTTTCTTCCAAACCTCATTTTTGCATCCTCTGTGGCTGTACCAACTTACTATACCATACCCAACACAGACATTCTTAGAAAAGAGATTTACTGTGAATCTAAATTATTAAAAACAAAAAAAAAAAAAAACCAAACACTCAAAAGCTAGGTAACATTAATTCTTTAAGTGTTGCTATTAATGGGCACATTAGGAGTCTTCCATCTCTTCCCCAGACTCAGAGAGGACGCATCTGACGGGGGAAGATGAGAGCTTGCCCTTGCCAGGCACCCAGGCAGCCATCACCTTTCTTACCATTATCCCCCTCAGGGAACCCCAAACTGACCACCCCCCCTCTCTGAGCCCGGCCCCTCACCAGCATCGCCCATGGAGCTGAAGATGCTCTCGGTGACACACATGATGGTGTCGGTGGCCTGGTCGTAGCGGCCGATGGGCTCGCCGCGGCTGGCAAATTGTCGCACGTGCTGCAGGAGATCGTGCAGGGCCTGGCTGACCACGCTGGCCGCCGCGCTGACCTGCTTCAGGAGCTCGCTGTCATCTGTGGCCGCCTGGCAGGCACGGACGCAGTTCTCCACCGAGCGGTCTACCAGCTTCCCTGCTTCAATCAGCTGCTCCTGGCACACGGGGGAGCTGATGGTGGGGCTCACCACCTGAAGCGAGACAGAAGCGGGTCCCGGGCACCGTGGGGCGACACTAGGTACCCAGTGTGCACTAGTCGTTCCACCAAGTCCCTTTCTGCTAAGGAACTGAGTAAGGTCTCAGTTCATTACTCACAGGACCAGGAATTAAACTAAACCATCACTGAGGTTTCTCACACTTCCCTATTTCACTTTATCTTTGTGATTTCAGATGCCCGCTAATTTTTATCTTCATTAGTGATACATAACAATCTATACTACTGACTACTTCTATAGAGAGACATTTCCAGTATTTACCAATTATGCCTCCTCCTTTTAGGAACCTCTGAATTGAGTCTTCTTAGCCAGGATAACAAGACTATCTAAAAGGATTCTATTTCTTTTTCCAGAGACACTCTAAGGTACTTTAAGGAACAGAAGAATTCTGTCAGTTATCTGTGGATACAAGGAGGTGGAACAGGGAAGGCAGGAGGGAGACCATCCAGGACTCCTTTGCCTGATGCTGTACATCCTCCCAGGGCATAGAAAACACCAGGCTGAGCCAGCTCATGGATCGCTACAGTATGTTATGTCATCAAGCTGAGAAAAGGACACCTCCCATCTTCTGATGCATCGTCTCAGCGAAGACACATGTGGTGGAGTAGAAAGGGTATTGGAAGTGAGGACTGAATTAAAAAACTCGGTTCTCCCACTTACTAGTTCTGTGGCCTTATGCTACTTAGTAACATCTAGGGGCCTCAGTTTGCTCTTCAGTAAACTAGGCGTGATGGTGCTTAAGGAAGTAAAGTATGACACAGGGTGTACATCCCAACTGGCAACAATGACCTTAATCCTCATCACTCTCACTCTAACACTGTGCAGTGGAGGAAGGGCCCCCATAAATTCTGCCTTTATTTCTGAACCCATTTATAATGCTGACAGCACAATGCAAGAACCCTTTCTGCGCAAGTGTAAATAAGACATACTGACAAGTCCAAAGGGGAGACACACCAATTTGCACATAGAAATGGCAATTAGACACAGAAGTACCACTGCTTGAGGACTTCAGCAAAGAGCAAATGATATATGTAGAATTGGGCAGTTTATGCTAAAACCTATTGTGTCACCTAAAAAGACACCTGAAGCCAGCTCTTAGCCTCACACAATTCTAACAAATTCTGGCCCTGCGTCCCCCCAATCAATGACCACAGGCAGATAAGAGCATGGGACATGTTGCGGAAAGGGCCAGGGGCCCAGATGGCTTACCTTGGCACACGCCACAAGCTGGGAGGTGGAGAGGGCGCACTGGGTGGCAGCTGCAATTACTCTGTTCTGTAGGACCGTGTCTTCAGCTACCTGGGCAACATTCTTTGCTTTCAGGACCAACATGGCAGCGGCATTGGCGACAGCTTTGGCCAAGCTCATTAAAACGTCCTACAAAAAAGAAATTGAAAAAACCTAGTCATACGTTTTATTTCTAATCACCCTTCACAGCCTGAAAATAAAATGTGGTATCCACTTAACCACTTTATTAGAATTCCATTTGACCTTTCTCCCTTTAGTACTGCAGAATAATATTTTTCCCCTTAGCTTCCTGAAATGTCAACTTGTCTTTAGAGCTAATTAAGGAAGAAGACACATCCTAATAACATATCCTCCTATACATTCACTAAAGAGCATAGGTTTAAATCTAGAGTTGATTAGATGGAGGAAACCATTTTTATTTTCACCACTGATTAACATTCGTGCACTTATCCAATACTGAGAGTTTTGACCCCGTCTCTCGAATGGGGTCAGTGTGGTGCATCAGGGAAAAGCTGAAAATATATCCAGATGCCACGAATACTATGTGCTGTAGGAAGAATATAATTCATGGCCTCCAAGTCATCAGGACCCACTGTAACTTGACAATTTATTTTTTGGACTTCTCCTTTGCCCAAGGATCCAAGTGATCACCACACATTCAGCCTCATCTGCCTCCAGAGGGCAACGTTGGACATGCACAGGCGACACCTACAGCTTAAGAGCAAAGGAATAGTTTGAACGTAGTTATTCTCAGTGCTCTATTGCCTCCTGCATAGGGATTAGGTTCTTATGAAAAGCAGGAACAGGGCCTACATAAATAAATTAGCTATGAGCTATGACTTCACTGAAGATTCAAGGAGCTTGGAGCCTTTAAAGATCAGTTTATTCTTTAACTCAACAAAAAAGGCACTCTGCCCACAGGGTGGAGAATCCTTTGATTTAGCCATCAGCTTTGTCACCCATCCGTGTGACCTGAAGAATAACCACTGCTACATTTAATTTACTTCTTTGCTTTTAATACTGACGGTAGTTTATTTGGTTTGGAAATGCCTTCCCAAACATATCCCACACACATGAGCCATTTTCATTTTGAACAAACATGTGAAGGCTTTCTCCCAGAGGAAATGTGGTCAGAAGTCTTCATTAATTCATCAGATAATAATGAAAAGCACTTTTGATGCTGAATGCAAAGGGCACCCACATAGTCTTTACAACAAGATATCTTATAGGAAGATAAACTGAAAAGACTGCTCAGCCTGAACAGTTTCACAGAGCAAAGACTGTATGCTATCCAGGCAAATCAGAAACCACCAAGTAGATTTTAAAGCGGACAAAACCAGTCTTAAAGGAAGAGTTCCGTCCAGTCTTTTTTTAAGGCTCTGATGTTTACTGAATGTCCAGGGCAAAACCAAAACCTGGGGTACCAAAAGTTGAAGATGTCTTTGGGATCCAACTGGCACTTGTCTGCCACACAATCTTAAGAAATGCTCCCAACATGGCCTGCAAAGTTATAGTTCATGGACACCCATATCTCAAAATTAAATGAAAATAATTTGAATGTCACAAATTAACAAGATTTAGGAAAATAACTTTCCAAAGTGGGTCACCGTATTCCTTTACTTGATATGAATCCATCTTTTCACGTAGGGACCAAGATCTGGTCATATAAACTCATGATTGTTCTAAAGGGCTTTGTTTGGCTCATTTATAGAAATCCTGTTTTTCCTATTAATTTTGCCCAAAACAAAATACAGTTAGAAAAAGAACGTGATACTACAGCTATAGTTGCTGACAAGGCCTTTGTCAAACTTTTCAACAAGACCACTATTATGTAGCCCATGTAAAATAAATCTTTGTTAAGTCTGGGAACATGCAGTGCATTGAGGACCCAAGAAAAGCTCTGAGATAGGATCTCAAGAATCTGAAAAATAGAGAGTAAGAAATCCAGTGTCAATAAGCCAAGGGCTACTTCTAACTGGAGAGATTGCAGATCACCTTACCGTGTTAGTGTTTACCTAGAGACCTTACAGAAATGGAAAACATCCAAGTCGGACATTTACCTGGTAAGAAAGACTCCACAGGACAATACCCTGAACCTGCTGCCCTAACATGTCCAAATAGAAACAAACATTAGGAAGCAGAGTTTGTGTTTATATGTGATGAAAACAGTCTGTCATAGGAAAAAAAAAAAAAGGAAAAGTCTTAAAAAATACAAGGATGCATGAAATGTGTTAAGGAAGAATTGGGACTTTACCGTCCACCTCACCAAACTTTGGGGAAGCCAATAATCTTTTCAAGGAAAGTAAATTGACCACTTCAAGATAATTAAGCCTAGTACACCAACAGCTGAATCTCATTATTTACCCAGTTCCTAAACAGGTACATGTCTGCAAAGAATGACCCACTCTAACACAAAAAGCAAAGGCCAATACAAGGACAGCGTGGGGACCTGGCTAAGGGAAGTCAGGATGGGGACACAATTAGCTTGGATTTAATGGGATGTATTTATGTGGTCTGCAGTACAATCTCTTTACAGTTCTAAGTGGCCATCTCAGCACAGACGTGGCTTCTGGGAACACCATATTATGGTGTCACCCTCCATCATGACATGAATGTCCAAGCATTGGATGTCTTACTGCACTGCAAGATATGAACGAGTCTACAGCCCCAGCACCACAGGTATGTGGAAAGCAGAGGAGAAACAAATACATCCGTGGATGAAGGTGCATGTGTCACATATCATATATGATCATGTATAAGTGTAACTGGTGCAGCTTGTAGTGATGAAGTTTGGTAGTTTAGATAAAATGGCATGCAAAATTGTGACCCATGAAGCAAGACACTTAAATGCTAGAGTAAAGTGAACGATCTTTTTATCCTGAGTTCTACAGAATTCCCCCATAGTGACCTTGACATAGGATTTTGAAAAAGGTATCTTCCAGAGAACCTGGGCTCGAACTGTACCAATTTAATGAGAATGTACTGATATAGTACTTGCAAAATTAGGATTTAAGAGGTGGAGAAAGAGGAGTGAAGGGCATCTGCCCGCCAGTCTGTGAGGCAAGAAGCCCATCTTAGCTTGACGCTCCCGGCAGCAGGCCCGGCACCTCATTTGTGGTGGCTGGCAGCTGAGGCGGACAAGCTGAGATTTTTGTCTGAGCTGGCAGTGCATCAAGCCAGCGGCAAGCAGTGGCTACAGCTGTTCACCAGAAGACAAACAGCACATAGCCTTGGTACTGAAAAATAAGGGTGATGAAAAAAGGCTTCTGCACCACACCTGTGGTTGTGGATGGTGCAGACAATAGACCCACTTCTGAATGTAAAGGCAAGCCTGTGCTATACATGAGTGCAATGCACGGGAGTACACACATTGTCACTCTGATATGTGCACTCTAGAATGACGCAGTTAAAAAATGCCCCCAAGTCGATAAAACAAGATTGGCTACGAGCTGACAACTGTAGAGGTTGGGTGGTTAGATCCAAGGGAGTTCATGATATTATCCCTTCACTTTTGTGTTTAAAGAATGTCCAGTATATTGGCCAGTGTGAACAGCTAAATAGGTGCTTTATAATGATAATTGTAAGTGAAATGTGCTTTTTAATTAAAAAAATTTTCAATTAACACACAAAGACCTCACCCCCAAGATAATCCACCTCCATTTTATTCTTGACAGCTCAAGGAAGACTTGGTTTTACATTCCATTCTCCCTGTTTGGGTCTAGAGACCATCACTTAGACTCTTTCCCATGATTATGGGCTGCAAATATCTTACTTGGAATCGCTCATCAGTCTCATTCTCTCCGATCTGTCTCAGAAGATCCCCACTGGCCTGTCCAATGCTTCCAGCAGCGGTCAAAACTGTCTGTCGAGGCTATGAACAAAGAACACACATTGACTGGAAAGAAAATGCACTTTCTCCACAGTGCCAACAGACATGGCAGTGAAGGGGGAGGAATTCTGCAGGATTGGATCCTTCTGCACCTAAATGAGAGTCTCCGACTATCTGCCAGACAGGAGACGTAAACGTCCTTTGTGCCAGGAAATGCCTGATGTCTCACACACCAGCAATAGGTGGACAGATTTGAAACGTTCAACTAATGAGGCTCATTCAGCTGGCAGGAATGGATATGTGTTTTAAGAAAAATAGGGGGCAAAACTTTCAACCCCTTTAAATATGTCTTTGACATATGTGTTAGTTTCTGAGGTTGCACCTAATCGATATGGGGGAGGGAAAGGAGGGAGGCTTCCTACTAACAGTTTAATCAGTGTCGAAGGTTGAACCATAGATTCTCTAAGCTCTACATGCCCCATCAAGATGGAAGGAGCAGCTCAGGAAGTAAAAACCCCACGGTACTCAAAGGTTGCACTGGTCTCATCAGGACCTGATCACCCCAAAGGCTCACCTCTCCAGAAGTAGGCTGCACAGCTTTGAGCAAGTCCGATACTGCCCCAGCAAGGGTCCTTGCAGCTCTGAGCAAGTCCTCCCCACTGCCCACTTCATCGTCCATGAGGGCTGCCAACAGCTTCACACCCTTGGACATCTCCGTCAGGTTCGAAGAAATGGTGGTGATTGCACATCCCACAGCTGTGTAGTCGGTGTCTGCAGGGTCACCTGGGACAGAGAAGGACCATCTCCATCAAAGGAGGGTGGTGAAGGGTGAGGAGGGCCCAGGTGGGCAGGAGGTAAGTGGCCACATTGCAGCAGTGGGTCACCCACCACTCTGTAGGAATCGGATGCAAAGCACTGCATGTGCACAGTGAGATGGACAGCCCCCTGTCACCAAGGTGCTGCTCTTCATAGGGTCCTTTCACCCTGAGGTCTCTAACATTGAAATACTGAGCACAAGCACCTTTAAAACTCCAAAGGAAGTCCCAGCATCTCAAGGCTCTTTTCATTAAGCTGCTGTCAGCAGCTCAGGGAGGTCAACTCGGCTCCTGAAACACTGTAATGCTGCACACTGAAGCCAAGATACTTCCTGGCTCTCACTTGACAGAGCAAGGCGGGGAGTCACGCTGTGCCAGAAGACACTACTGCTGGCTGAGACAGAAAGAGGCACACATGACGGATCGAGTCACTCAAAACCATTTTCAGATCGTAAGCTCCCAGAAGGGAGAAACTAGCCTCAGTATACTTTGAAGTATGTCCAACTTATTGATGAACAACGAGAAGGGCTTTAAAAAGCTACATAAGTGCTTTTTAATGATGATGCATGATATAGACACAAAGGAATGAGATGTTCCCCACATTTCTCCTGGGTCAGTGGGAGAAAAATGCCTGAAGCACTCGGGGTACCTAAAAATAGTCTGTCATCTCATAATGTTGAAAATTTATTTCAATCAAAGAACTTTAAAACACACACACACACACACACACACACACACACACACACACACACACACACACACACACACACACACACACACCACAAACCCCTCAGGATCTTACCGGCAGTGAGGTTAACAACTGAAGCTGTTCCAGCTGTGATGGCATCGACTTGAGAGTGGATTTCGTGTTTGGATTCATCAACTTTATTCTGAACCCATACCCTAGACGCCTGAAAAACCAGACAACTGCATGACACAATCATTGCACAGAATTATCCAGGAAACCAGAGGAGTTATGCCATAAAACGAGACCAGCATTTTGGCTACACTCGTCTTACTGGGCCAGCACCAACGAGGTCCTTAAGTCATCTTAAACAAGGTCCTTAATGGGCCTCTTGATCACACTGAATGGTATATAAGTTCTCAATGTTTCTTACACTGGTTACATTTTTTTTTTCAACTTTTAAGACGATAGAGAGAAAAATTCTATGTGACTTTAGGTAAATGCAATAAAAGATGAGAATAATTGATGTCTCTTGATAATATTGGACATGAGCACCAACAATGCTAATTTTCACCTTGTTTTTTTAGAGAACGGGTTGAGAATTAGAGTGTTTCAGCTCATGAGCATTCTCTGTCAGCATGGGGATTGTCTTCCATTGACAACATGAATGTCGTGTAGATGTGGCCCCTTTCCCGGTAGGATTTTGGGGGTGGGGGTGGGGGTGGGAGGTCAGGACCCCGGTTCTGGATCCAGCTGTACCCCTTGGGCAAATTACATTCAGGTCCTGTGCCTGATACTGCTTCTACTGCAGGAGCTCCATGGTCTTTAACAACCTTTCTAGCTCTCATACTTATGTTCATTTGAACCTGTAAATAACAAATTCTCTATTTTCTGGCATTTCTGGACTTAGCCAATAAATGATCACTTACATTGACAATGGCAACTCTATTTTATATAAGGGGCTGATATGCTACCTAAAACATTCCAACAATATTAATCTAGGTTCCAGATGCATCTAGCATTAATATATTTTGTATCCTAATTCTTTGAAAATTGGTGAAGCAGGAATGTTAAATTCAAATATTTCAAAACTCGATCTTACAGTTGTGCTGGATTTGGGTGTCTGTCATATGCATTTTCACTCTGAAGTTCCCCAAAGAAAACCATTTAATGATTTGGGAGAAATAGCACTGAGGACAGCAGCACCCTACGTGTATACAAGTACGCAAATGAACAACACAGTGTTCAGGGAGAACTCGGAGGCAGATACTCCTGGCTGGACAAGAGGAGGCTACAAATTATATCTTGGTTCTGGACCCTGTGAGGGCCCTGTCAGTCCTAAAACGGAGCTTTTCCAACCTTGGCTGCCCCTTAGAATCACTTGAGAAGTTGAAAAAGCACTGATACCCTCTCCCCACCCCCAGCAACACAGATTTATTTGGTTTGAACCCTAGGACCTTAGGCTTTGTCCTTCAAGCTCCTCAGGTGCTTTTAACGTGCAAAGTAGGGCTGAGAATAAGTGCTCGCCAGTGCTTCACAAGCTTGAATGTGAACACAGAACAATAGGGAGCTTCGCTACCATGCAGGCTCTGATTCAGAAGTCTGGGGTCAGGCCTAAGGTTCTACACCTCTTACAAGATCCCAGGTGTGGCCAATGCTGACGGCCCATGGACCACGACCCGCGTAGCAAGGGGCTAGATGATGTCATGCAGGAACAGCTACAAGAAGGCAGCTCATTTCCATGCCCTCCTGAAAACTCAAGAGTAGTAGCCCGATGTTTCTCAAATCACAGTGCCCCCAAAAGCAGCAGCAGCACGACAAGAACTTGATGGAAATGCACATTCTCAGGCCCCACCTAGACCTACCGAGTCAGAAAAAAATGAGGGAGCGGCTCAACAATCTGTTTTGACAAGCCCTCCAGGTGACTCTGACACATGCTACAGTTTGAGAACAACTGGTAATAACAAAAACAGCTAATAACTCACTGAGCTCTCACCATGTGTTAGGTACTGTGCTAAGAGCTTTGTATACGATTAGATTCTTGCATCTTCACAACCACACTAGTCATGGATGACAACATGGAGGCTTAGAGAAAGCTGCTCAGATTCACACAGCCACTGAGCAGTGGAGCTGGGATTGGAGCCCACCTGATGTGACTCTAGAGTCCAAGTTCTTAGTCCTTGCCAGATACTGCCAACAGCCACTAGCATCCCCTGATTCCCTCTTCCTGTGGGTACAACCTAGAGACAGAGACTTATTATCTAGAAAAAGACATGGGTTTCCACTTCACTTCATTGGAGACAGAGATTCACCTGACTGAATTCAGACAGTGCATAATCCTATTTCCTGCCAGGGCAGAGACATCGAATGAAAATAATGAACAATATTTACCATATCCTGGCCAAGAGGCGGCAACGAGTCAAGCTCGCTGAGGTCGTCCTGGGCCTGCTGGACGGCGTGCATGCTCGTATTGATGGTCCCCATGAGGGCCTGCTGGGCCGAGGTCTGCAAAGGCAGATGGACACAAGGTGGCATAACATGCTCCCGGCACTGACACAGCCTTCTACACAAAACAAGGTGAAACTGAACTCTGGCTCCGGACACAGTGGCCCAGGGTACATACACATCTCTACAACGGCCCGAACCACCTCCCATTGGATAACTTAATTAGCTGACAAGAAGGCTCAGAAAGAGTCCTTGCAGAGGAGCTAACAGGGCCCAATCCTTGAGTACTGGGGACAAAAGATCTCAGGCATGGGAAAGACGTGTTATACCAGAACTCTTCTTGGTAAATAAGTAAGGATTCCACCCAAACCTACACATGCTTCTTCAGAGTCAAATTACTTCTGAGCTTTCAGGCTCTTGAGTTTTCAAACAGTTCTCACCCAATACCCAAGAGAGGCACTGCATCAGGTAGACCATCACAGTGGAAGGAACCAATGACCCACTCGGGACAGTGTGGCTCACTACAGACCTGGTCTATTTCTAAGACTCTCCGAGGGGTATCTGTGCTCATTAGCAGCTTGATGATACTTAGGCAGAGCAGGTTTCTACCTCTGAGTCACCAGTCACATGGAGAGGTTACTGTTTCTCTTCCAGAGGACAACTGTGGTCCTACACAGGGAGTGACCAGAGCCACCCAAATACAAGAAAGCATGCTGGGAGTGAGGCATCAGGACTGCACAGCTGTAGAGCAATGGTCCAGACAGGAACTAGCATGAGTGTGGATGACACACAACCTATCCCCATGGCTGGTGTTCCTCCCTGCACACCAGAGGCAGCATACTGACATGCAGGGCGAGTGCCCCGGAAGCCTCACCAGTGGGGGCATGTGGCCTCGGTGCATCTGCCCAACCATGACCTGCTGCTGTGGCGAGGGCATGCTGCCAACGTTGAAGGTCTCGGGCCCGCTGGAGCCTGAGCGCATCACAGCTGGCAGTGCCACCGAGCCATGCTCCACCTTTCCGGTCCGGTTGAACTGCTGCTGCAAGATGGTGGACCTGCGGGGGACAGGTGGTTTGGTCACTGAGGTGGCCGCACCTGGGATAAGACACCACAGGTGTCACGAATGTTTGCTGCTTTGTGCTGTGGAGGCCAATTTAAAAGAGAAATGTACAGACAGAATTGTGAATGAAGACACAGCACTAAAAGCTCAGTACAAAAACCCTGAGGTGAATCCTTTAATCGTAGTAATATAACCACTCCCAATGTATTTAATAGGTTCCCGATATTATGCAATTAGTTGTTCTTAAAAAAACAGAGGTTTTCCCATAAAAACGATGTACCAGGTGTAAATGAAAGTTTTGGATACATTGATCTATTATTGGTCAATCCTACCTGACATGCATTCATTCGACAAATTCCCGCATGCCGGGTTCTATTCGAGACACTGGGGACATAGATCATATATCCTTAGCTTGATGAGGAAAGTATGGGTATGAACACAAAGAAAATCTCCCACAGCTTAGATCCCATCCCACAGGTTGGAGGCCATTGACCACAGAGGGTGTTTAAACACCTTTGGAGCCTTGATGACGGGACAGACTTTGGCACCTCTTCTAGATGATTTCAACTTAAGTATGGAAAGACTCTGAGGGCATCAAGTAAAAAAAATGATCAGTATTTTACTTTTGGATATTTTCTTTGAATGAATGGTGAATGCAAAGGACTTCGAACATATGAAGTTAAGAAGTCTGAAGTGACATATCTGCCTCAGTAGCCCAGGGGTCACACCCACAGGGAGAGTCTGGGAGAGCCTTTGTGCACATGTGGAAGGGGGCCAGGGTTGGGGAGCACCTGCATTAAAGGTCAGGGGCCTCTGTCCCAGGATTCTCAAACCATCATAGATCACTCTCTGCTGCCCAGGGCAAAGCTCGTGAGCCATACCAGGACACCAAGCAACATGCATCCATGGAGAGACATCATTGTCTATGGAGGAGGTGACACTAGGGAGGGTGGACCTGCGGTTCCTGTAGATCAGCTGCATGCTGAGAATTCAGCTAAAGTCTAATACAGGGAAAGTGGAAGGCCCAGTAATGGGAACCACCCTGGACCACACTTCCTGTTTGCCTTGATCAGACCCCACCTTGATGTCCTAGGCAGTGGAAGGAGGCTACAGTGGTCCCAGGCAGGGGAGGTGCTGGCACTCTGGGCTCAGATACTTACTTAGCTCTTCCTAGGTGAAGTATGGTGCAGCCTTCCTTTGAGGTGAGTACCTCACCCTGTCAGGAAGCATAGCTTACTAATTTCCATCTAACGTTCATTAATAATTCTAAGAAGTCAAGGTGTTTTGCCAGGGGTGACAATACTTGAAATGTGTCACATCAAGTTTGGTTCCAACTGTGTATTAACAGGGGACAAATGGAAAAACAGCTTCAAGGTGATTATAAAGCAAATTGTGAGAGAATGGTGCAGAGTGGCAATGTTGGAGAAACAACTACTATGATTAAGCAAGTTCAATGCTGGGGTATCTAGAACTTTCTGGCAGTGTGCTATAGGAAACATCACAAAATCTGAATCTGGGTCCTGGCTCTGCCACACAAATGCACCTCAACTAACTCCTACTGAGATTTGGTTTCCTCATCCATGAATGGGGATGGCTATATCTGGGTACCTCTTCCATAGCGGGTTGTTGTTAGAACCAAATGAGACAGCATGTTGAATACACACAGTAAAGTGAAGACAAGAAAAGTTTCTATTACAATGCTCTATTTAACATAAAGAGGATGGCTGCACCGGTTCTGGTTGAAGTATCACTTATTAGATGTTACTTAATTTTAATAAATCTCAGTTTCCTCATCTATAAAATGGGGCTAAATTGAGACAGTTCTGAATTTAAAATAATGATGATGATAACAATAGCAAACATTTATTATGTGCCAGGCATGTTTTATGTGCTTTATTAGTAAGTCAATTATCAAAAGGAAACATAAGGAGGTATTATAATTACTCCCATTTTATAGATGAGATCAAAGGGGCAGAGAAAATTCATAATGTCCACAAGGCCACACATTAAAAAACAGTCCCCAGATTTGAACTCAAAGTCCAGCTCAGAGTCCACGTTCTTAACCATTTGCTGAGTCATAATGTGTGTATCAAGTGTGGCATGTAGCAAGTGGTCCATAAACAGTAACCCCTCTACTGACTATGTCCCTACCTCCAAAGGGATGGAATTAAACAGAAGCTCACTCTCCAGCCCTTTGATGAAAATCATGCACTTTATGAGATTTAATCAGAAATGCAGAATAGGACTCATGAATGTTCACTGCCTCTAAAGATGAAGTTAAACACATCTTGTTCAGTGCCTCCCTGAAATCTTCAGCCCCCCTCCCCCCAGACACCCTTAACACCAAGGCTGATAGTCTGGGACCACACTTCAAGAAGCAGGACTCGTCTATATCATCCACTATCATTTCCTCCACGTGAGGGACTGCAGAGCAACAGGCCCCAGAGCTGGCAGGAGGACACCTGCCCATGCAGTGAGAAGGCAGTTCTCCAGCGCTCTTACCAATACTTACTTTTTGGGGGAAACGGACTCTTCTAACATAGTTGACTCCTCATCACCCTCTAGTCCAAATCGATCTTTACTTTGTTTCTAGAGGTAAAACAAGACAAAAAAAAAAAAAAGAAGTAAATCAGCAGGTCTTTACACAAGAACCTTTTAAAAGGTGCCACATAAGCAAAAATGTTGAGGTTTACACCAAATTCCTTACACTGGACATTTAGTAAACGATGGGTGAACAAAAGCAGTAACAAGAAAGAAATTTAATATAGAAAGACATATGATGTCTTCTGCATTTATTATTGCACAGACCTAATTTTATATATTTAAAATCAAGACGCAGATATTAATATTCAATTTCATTATTTGATTAGGCTGTATTTAGAAGCCTTAGAAAATCTGTCTGTATACCACTATGGCATATAACCCTATGAAATTCGGGGGGGAGGGGGGAAACAACATGAAAAACACACAGAACATTTCCAAACCCTCAATCTGGATTTCTACAGAGGCTGGGAAGTATAACATAACTGTGCAGAGAGGAAGATGCCAAAGGGTCAGCTAGGTTCATTCATTAGCTAAGTGATGCACTATCACTAATTACCTGGCAGTCAATGATACAAATGAGCTGCAGCAAAATCAGAAATTCTAATAGGATCTTAAGGTCAAAGACCACGCACTCAAGCAATCTTAACGTCTAAGATTAAATTAGTTCATCAAGTACTTCAAATAAGGGTTTTGTTGTTGTTGTTATTTTCCCCCAGGTAGTTACATTATCTACACTGAGTCTTAATAAAGAAGACTTGCTTTCCAATTTGCATCACTATGAAATACCTTTTTGAGGATGATGTCAATGTAGCCTGCAATCAGCTGGGATATTTGCTCTCCCTCGGTGGTTTGTACTGAATAGTAGCTTTCTTGATACTCCCCAAAATCCTGGGAAAAAAATAGCATTAGAAGAACTATAACCAAATCAGATATATTAACAATTTTAAAGGTGAGGAGGTCCAGGTTCGAGATGGCATAGACTCAACTTTTTCCTGTTCTTCCTCTCAAAATACAAGTGAACACCCTACAATTTATTCAACAAACAATGGTAAAAGGGCTCTGAAAGCTGAAAAGGTGGGCTGGCTGGGGACCTCAGGACCTCAAGAACCACATCTGATGAGTTCTTGGGTTTTGTTTTATATCCCATTTACCTCCACGGTTGGGTGTTGGATAGGTCTGAACCTCCAACAAGCAGTTTCTGAAAAGCCTGTTGTCTGGCCGAAGGACCAGAAGAGGGGAAGCCCAACAGAGACCTAGCTGGGAATCCCAACCCAGCTCCCCAATCTGGGCTGGCACTCACCAGCAGCTGCAATGATCAGTGAAGGCCTGGGCCATCCCAGCCCCTGCTCCACAGCCCAGGCAGGCAGGTGGTCTGATCCTTTTGCAGCAGTGGCCCCAGTGAAGCCCTGTATCTCCCTGCCCTCCACCCAGAGGCATACAGATACTCAGGTCCAGTGCCTTCTGCCTCCTCACACAAGGCCACTCAGCAATAGCAGGTGGCCCAGGAAAGTGCCTTCTTTCCTCACAGACAGCACCAACAGAGATTGATCACAAATCCCAGCAATGTCAAAAGAACAAAGTAGTCCAGAATAGCATTGCAATGGTTCAGAAAAATGAATTGTCATTGCAACTAAAGCCCATAAAAGTAGGCTACAACTCTACACCCTAAACCTAAACAAGGTGACTGTCTGCTAAAATAGTTTTAAATAAGATCAAGAGTCTCCTAACATAACAACCAAACTGTCTATGATATAACAAAAATAATCACTATTCATATCAAGAACCAGGACAACTACAATATGAGTAAGAGCAATAATCAATTGATACCAATACTGAGATGAATCAGATGTTGGAATTATCTGATAAGGATTTTAAAGCCGCCATTATAAATAATGTTTCAATAATCAATTACAAATTCTCCTCAAACAAATGAAAAAAAGTTTCAAAAAGAAACATAAGTCATTAAAAAGGACCAAATGAAAATTAACTGAAAAATGCAATAGCCAAAATAAAAAACTCACAGGATAAACTAGTGTGGAGATGATAGAACCAGTATTAGAGGATAGAGCCAGTAAACTTGAAAACAGATCAATAGTATTTAGTCAATCAGAACAACAGACAAAACCAAATAGAGCTTCAGGAATCTGTGGGTCAATTACAAAAGATCTAATATCCATATCACCTGAATCCCAGGAGGAGAGTGAAACAAAAAAGAAAAAAAGTATTTGAAGAAATAATGGCTGAAAACTTCCTCAAATTAGTGCAAGACATAAACCCATAAACCTACAAATTCAAGAAGCTTAGCAAAACCTAAATAGAGGAAACGTTAAGAAATCCACACCAAAAACTTTTGAAAACTAGAGACAAAGAAAAACCTTGAAAACAGCAATAGAAAAGTGACATTATCTATCAACGAACATACTATGTATAAATGAACTTGAAGGGCAGAAAATTCTAATCTGAAACCATGGAGGACAAAAAGAAGTAGATGACATTTTTCAAATGCTAAAAGAAAACAATTGTCATTCTCAAATCCTGTATCTGGCAAAATTATCCTTTATGAATAAAAGGGAAATAAGAACATTCTCAGGTGAAGGAAAACTAAGAGAATTTGTTGTTCTTAGCAGACCAGCCTTTAAAGAATGGCTGAAAGAAGCTCTCCAAACATAAAGAAAATGGTAACAAAAGGTGGCTTGGGACTTTAAAAAGGAAACAGGATGGATCAAAATAGAAATAAATGTAATAGACTATATCCTTTACCTCATGAGTTTTTCTTTAATCATATTTTATGGTTGAAGCAAAATTTATAACACCATCTCATGTGGTATTTGATGTGTAGAGAAGAAATATTTAAACAATTATACTAAAAAAGTGGGGAGTTTAAAGAAACCTAAATGGAAGTAAGGTTTCTATACTTTACTTGAAGTGGAAGAACAATGACACCAATAGGCTGTAATTAATTTAATATGTATATGGTAATATCCAGAACAATTACTAAGCATACTATATAAAGAGATATGCTCAAAAACATCACACATAAATAAAAATGGAATTCTAAAAATGTTCAAGTAACCCACAGGAAGGCAAGAAAAACAGAGGAAAAAGAGTGAGGATAAACAGAAAAAAAAAGGTAAACTTAAGCCATAACATGTCAATAATTAGGTTAAAATATAAACGGTCTAAATATTCCAATTAAAAGACAGACATTGACACAGATTTTAAAAGAGAACACAACCCAACTCTATATTCTCTACATGAAACTCATTTCAAATATGACAATACAGTAGCTAGACTAAAAGTAAAAGGATGGAAAAAAGCTATAACATGCAAACATTAATTTTAAAAAAGCATGAGTGGCTATATTAATATAAGATGAAGATTCCAGAGCAAAAAATAATTATTAGGAACAAAAGAACATAACAATAAAACATTTTCTCCATTAAGAAGATAGAGGGAGAATGCTAGGCATCAAGCAACAGAGTTTCAAAATACAAAAAGCAAAAACAGAGATCAAGGGAGATATAAAAAAATCCAGAACTGTTGCTAGAATCTTCACTCTTAGAAATTCATAGACTTATCAGATGGAAAATTAATCAGGATATAGAAGACTGGAACAACCCCATCAACTAACAGCACCTAACTGGCATTTATAGAACACTTGATAGGAGAATATACATTCTTTTCAATCACTCATGGAACATTCTCCAAGAATGGTCATATCTAGGGATATAAAACAAAGCTTAAAATTCTTAAAGAAGTGAAATCATATACAGCATGTTCTTTGACAATAATACAATCAAGCTGAAAACCAATAACAGACAACAGGAAAATCTCCAAATACTTGAAAATTAAATTAAGGCTAGGAATAGGAAGGAAACAAATATTACATGTTACAAGCTTTAATCCAACTTTACACTTTAATAAAAATAATGATATTCACTCTCTCTTTTGCTTGAGGTAGTTATTGAGATTCATAACTCTTTCTTATTTTTTAAATAAATTTTTGTTTTTAACAGAGCAGTATGTAGGCCTAATTTTAAAAGACCAATAGTATTAAACAGTATACAACAAAATACAGCTGTCCCCTGTACTACACATTTCTGCCTTCACTTTCTACCCTCCCCCCAGCCCGCAACCACTTTCAACCCTTTTAGCAGTTTCTCCTAATATTTCTAAATAAAACGCTTATATTGATTTCTTGATTTTTCTATTGTAGAAATGATCTACAACTTTGTACAATGGAAGATGAGAACATAATTCTCTAAGTATAAACACCCATTTTTAAGGGCTACACAGGTTACTGACTACAGGAGGAAAGAAGGTATGTTTTCTGAAGATTCCTTCCAACTGGCATGAGTCCATCAATCAGTGATTAAATTAGATAACTACTCCCTCCAAGGCCACTTCTTTATACCTTTTGCTCTGATGCCCTATTATGAGATCTGGCCTCAATGCAAGCTGATATTTCAAGTGTTCACGAGAGCTGGAGAATAGTACACTTCAGGAGTTGACAGATTTCAATTTTGTTTTTAATTTCTCTTCTTGCTCAACTTGCCCTTTCAATTCTCACATGTAAGTGTGGCTATAGTTAAAGCTACACAGTTATACTCTGCTAAGAGCAAATACTGAGGTTGGGAGGGTGAATTTAAAGGTTTGAAGGTAATACACATTCCCCCTATTTTCCATGTATTCCACAATGGGCATTTTATCATCATCATCTCGTTTGATCCTAGCAATTCTATCAAATAGCTATTACTATTTCCATTCTACAGCTGAGGAAATTAAGGATCAGAGGGGAGAGATTTTGAGCAAGGTCACAGAGCTAGGCAACGACAAGCTGGGTTTGACTACTACCCAAAGACTATGCTATTTCCACTATTATTACAGCATGTTCTCTTTCGGGGCAGTCTGGGAAAATACACCTCAGTAAGATGTCACAGGTCTTAGAAACTTCCAAAACAACTGGAGATGAAGAGGGAGCCTTTGTATGAGCCTCAGAGCATTAGAAAGTTTCCTTTGAGGGTATGCTAGGGATGGCATCAGGGACGTAGGAGACTGAGAATCATCCCGTGAGTGGCTCTGTTTAGTTAACGAACTAAGACAGACTTCAAGCACCAGAGAGGAAGAGGTGGCCAAGGAGACCCAGCTGCCATCTCCTTCACTTGTGGACCATTCCCCCACCCCCACCCGGTGGACTCCATCCATCTGTCTCTCTGCAAACTGCTCTCTAAGGCCAGGGAAACCCAGCGGGCCTGTATTGTTTCTCCAGCTCTATGAGATCACCCAAGGCCATGTTGGCCCCCTTGTTGCCCTCTGCCAGTCCTTACCAGCGTGAAGCTCTTGGGTGAGGCTGCCCAGCGCTTGACCGTGGTGAGCGGCCACTCCTGCAGCACTTCCTTGGTCTTCTCATCCACCCGCATCACCGAATCTTTGGTGATCCCCAGTAGGCGAGGCACCAGCTTGTTCTTGCCTTTCATCTTTTCCTGAAACAGGAGGTTATCAGCAGTCAGTGCTCTTCCTCTGAATACATCTGATTTTGCCAAATAATCGGTGATTTGTAACATTTTACCTGGGGTCAATTTACATACATTGCATTTCAAAACAGGTAAGACTACTGACTCTTAAAATATTTTATGATTAGTTTTAATAATTTTTAAAGAAATAGTAATCATGCCTATTAAAATAATGGATCCCTATCTGTCACACCCAAACAAATTCAAGATAGATTAATAATTTAGGGAAAGCAAATAGGTGAATATTTTTGTGATTCCTAGGTAGGAAATGACTTTTTAGCGCAAACACCAAAACAAACCATAAAGGAAAAGATTAATAGCTTTAACTCTAAAGTATATGGAGACTTTGATACAGCTTAAAAAAAAAAAAAAAGAGAGAGCGAGAGAGAGAGAAGCAGGAGAAAAAGAAACCAGAATTAAAAAGCAAATGACTGAGGAATATTTACAACAAATATGATAAAAATTTCATACACTGTGTATGTGAAAGGTAATCATAAACTAACAAAAATAATTGGCAAAGAACATGAACAGAGAATGTGCTTAAAATAATAAAATAATTAGATAATAATAAGCAATTGGATAGATTTTCATGTATATAAAATGACAAATTTAAAACAAATTAATACTCAGAATTGAATAGGCATAAAGGGGAACCACTATTGATGAGAATTTAAAACGGCAAAGACTTTTTGGAAGAAAATGTGTCAATGATCCAAAGCTTTAGAAATATTTCTACTCTGTATACATTTTGTGTTTATAAACTTATTCAGAAACAAGTTATAAATGAGTGTGAAGATTATGTTGCAAGAAGTGTCACCTTAGGGTTTATCACTGTGAAAAACTAGAAATAGCCAAGTTTTCAATAATAGGGGATTTGATAAATTACAGTATATCCAAATCACAGACTATTCTACAACTATTAAAAATCATATTATAGGAAAAGAATTGGATTCATGGTCATACAGTAGTCACAATATATTATAAAATAAAAAAAGTCTGTACAGCATAACTCTACATGAAATAAAAATTTAAACAAACATTTTTAAATTAAAACATTAAACATTTTTAAAATAAAATTTCATCTTATGATAAAATGGTGACAATGATCATCTCAAGTGATTTGTATTATTTTCTTGTGCTTTTCCTTACTCCTGAAATTTCAGTTAATGCACATCTATTTCTATTGTTGCCAGGGGAAAAAAATCAAACTTTTCAAATACTTGCTGAAACCTAGCAACGCCAATAGCACTCTTCTCCAAGGAACACATGTACAAATTAGCACAAAGTGTCTATGTAAGTGGGTGTGTGTGCAAGGAGACAGGCACTTAAAAGAGGGCAGGAGGAGTGTACTACATATTAACAAATATCTTCCATTCGCTTTCAAAGCATCTCCTAAATGTTCGTATCATCATCATCATCATGCCCATTTTGAAATGAAGGGACCAGCAACTGTCCCAAGGCAGACAGTAGTGAAGGGTAAAGCCACAATTAGAATTCAAATTTAGCAGCTCAAAAACATCTCTGATTTCAAAAGCAGATCATCGACCACGATGTACTTCTTCTGATGGAAGCAATGAGAAAAAAGAAAAAAATACCCCCTCCCAGCCCCCATGGGCAGTTCATAAGCCATCAGATGCACACCTCCAGCCTCCTCCCAGGAGGAGGAGATAATGACATCAGGCATCTGTGTGGGTGTCTGAGGAGGATCAGGCATCTGTGTGGGTGTCTGAGGAGGGGAACGTGGCACTGCAAGAACCTCCCAGTCCTTACAAACACCAGGGAAGAGTCCGCTTCTTTGTGAAGAGAGGGCGGCTCCACAGGGGGTCAAACCAATGCAGGTGGATGATGCCAGGTAGTCTAAGTTGGCTTCAGGAGCCACAGGAGAGGCTCTAGGCAGCTAGTTTAGTCCCACAGGGCTGGCACCAGCCCAGCTGCTGGGACCAAAAAGGGGATCAGAAATAAAATATGGTTTGCAGCTGTTGCCTTCCTCCTTTCCTATCTGTACCTCCACAGTGAGGGGCTTTGGGGTGAAGGATTGCCCTGACTCGGGTGGAGATCAAGCTGGCCTGGGAGAGGAGGCCACAGAGAAGAAGCAAATGGCTTACAGTGGGCATTCCATTAGAAGGTCACGATTGAGGGCAAGGGTAGATATATAAGGAACTCAGAGAATACTCTAACTCAGCAGCACAGACCACCATCAAGGGACATAATTATTTCAGGGCCCCCCACAAAAAAATGCAGATTAGCTGGAGAGAAGTTCAAACAGGGAACGGCTTGGCTCTGTGCCAGTGATGTGGGGTCGTCCCCTACAGAAGACCTGCCTTAGAGCCTCAGTGGCAAAGCCTGTATGTTAGGAGGGGGTCCTGAGGCAACAAGGCATCCTCTTCCTCGCAGTATCTCATATCTCAGTCTTCCCACACCTCTCCTTTCCAACCTCTAACTATATACATAGAGCAGCATCCTTTCACCTCCAGAAGAAAACCTGTTTCTCACGCACAGGCACATGCAGAGGCTGTAGCTGCGATTTTGCCAGCTACACAGAAACTTCTCCCTCAAGGTGGTACTCATTAGTTTTGTTGTTTTGAAGATGTCTAGAGCTTGCATAACTTCAAGGCAGGAGAATATGCATTCTACCAAACAGAGGCAGCATCCAATAATAAGGCCCACCCCTTCCTCTTCCAAGCACATTTCAACCATTACTGTGGGTTTAGCCCTGGCGGCTGGCTCTGATCAAGCCTGCTCTGCCTTGGGCTCTTCTCACAGGTGTGGAGATTGATTTTTTTTTAAATTAGTTTCAGGTGTACAAAACAATGTACTAGTTAGACATTTACACCCCTCACAAAGTGATAACTCCCCTCCCCCAATCTACTATCCCTCTGACATTGTATATAGTTGTTATAATTCCATTGACTATATTCCCTATGTTGTACTCCATATCCTGTGACTATATATATTAAATTATAGTTGACATTGATCCTTAAGTCACCTGCATTTCACATCTGAGAATCAGAATTGGGGAGAGGGAGGCAAGGGGGCCAAGCTTTCGGCAGGCTGTGTGGCTCTGGGCCTCTGGCTTCAGTGAGGCCTAAGCCCATGATCCAGCTGTGCTCACGGGAATTCTGCACTGGCTTCCAGCCAAAGTGCTGGCTGGTGTGCTCTGCTGTCACCTTATACTTATTTTATTTCTTTTAGAGGCATGGCAGAAAGGGATGGCTGCTCAAGAGCAAAACTGGGTGTTAAAGACCCTGTTTATAGCCCTCTCTCTCTCGAAACACTTGGTAATCCACTTTGACTTGATTCTGAGATGCTCTGAATGGCCTCTGTGATGCTTTTACCCTTCAGGGTCAGCTCCCCAGGTAGCTCACCTCAAGGCTCTGATAATGACTATAGGGAAAGTTCAAAGGGAAATTGAGAAGTGAGAAGGTTTATACAAGGATTTTTCTGGAATAAAACAGGATCCTTTGCAGGTCTTAGAAAATGCCTTACCATTGCTTATGGGGTTTTGATGAGCAGATCATGATAACATGCAAAAGAAGTCAATGAAAGAAAAAAATGGTAGACATTTATCACTCCCATTTATTGAGATCTTATATCCAACAGTCCCATTTTCTGTATCATCTCATTTAAACCTCATAAAAAGTTACAATTTTATAGGTGAGCAAACAGGTTATAGATGGAAGGTAACATAACTTATCTAAGGTCAAATTAAATAGCAAAGGCAGAACACAAACCCAGGTCTTTCTTTTCAAATAATATGTCCCTAGGCACTGAGAAAACTGCCACATGACACTGTTCCCTGGCGGGGTCATTATAGGGTGTACAGACATTCTCTATATCTGGGTCAGCAACCTGCAGCTGGTGCTAAATCTAGCTTTTTGCCCATTTTTTAATGGCCTAAGAGCTAAGAGTGAATTTTTCATTTCTAAATGGTTGGAAAAAAATCAAGAGGAATAATAATTCGAGATGTTAAAATGATAGATTTAAATTTCTGAGTCCATAAATAAAGCTTGACAGCAATAACCATGCTCATTTATTTACATATTGCCTACAGCTGCTTTCATACTACAAAGGCAGAGCTGAAGAGTATGACTGGCAAAGCCTAAGATATTTACTGTCAGCCCCTTTACTGAAGAAGTTTATGAACCCCTGCTCTACATCATAGACCCTAAAAGCCAAATAAAAGTTGGAAAATCTCAGGGGCCAGGGATTAAGAAGATGTGGGAGGAGTTAAGGGGCTGGACTAGCCAAAAATTTATCAAATATCCTTACGTTCCAGGTACTATACTTGCTTACATACATAGCTCATTTAATCTTCATTTGAGTTTTGTAAGGAATTATCACTACCATTTTCAGATGAAGAAACTGAGGTCTAGGGAGGCTAGGTATGTCTCTCAAGGTCATACACATTTCTGCTATTTCTCACATAGGTGTATACTGCCATCCTGGATTCTGGGCCAATCTTCCTAACTCCCAACACCTGAGCACTTTCTAGTATTAAAAACATAACACTCTAAATATAAGGACAAAATATACATAGATATAGAAGAAAATGTGATGAAAGCACCTATAAAAATGTCAAATTAGTTCTCTCTGAATATCTATGACTAATGTCAAGCCCATGTTGTATGACTGTTTCATTATCAGTATTTAAATGTATAGTAATCATTTCACCAATTAATTTATAATTTCTAATAGGAGCTAATAAAAGTAGTCAATGAGAAGGCAGAATCACTTTTACTTCCTAAATTGTGCCTATGAACCTCCTTGACAATTTAATGCTATGTTCAGGTTGGGGATCTGAGATCTTTGTTACTTAAGCCTTTAAAAAAACTATCCCTCCAGCATACAATTTCTGTGTATGTGTTATTCCGCATGTGATCTCTTTTGAACATATATTCTAAGTAGTTATGATTCATACACACATACACACACCAATGAGTTTTTTTAAGAAAAATGCTGTTGATATATGT